GTACAAAAACAGTGAAGCATGCAAATGTGCATACATTACAGCAGACAGCAGGAATCGTACCGATGAAGATACATGTTCTAAATACATGTAAGTATTGTTTGCTGAACCTCCTTGATAGAATGTACCGCAAATAGGTCAGAAAAAGGGTTAGGAAGACTTCATTTCCTGTCATCTGGTGGTGTATAGCTTTTTACGGTTGTTACCAAATGCTGATCGTAATCGATTGCTGTGCTGTTTATCTTAGCCTTCAGCGCGTTCTTTGTACCCGAGTCTCGATGAAGCAACTAGCATCTACAGAGACATTGCAGCAGTGCCTACTCCTGCAAAGGCTAGCTTGCTGCGGACCAAAGAGGGTGCTCTGTCCGTCTTTATTGACTGGACCCAGCGGGATCTGGAGAGGTCAGAGAAAGTGAAATTCAAGTCTGTACATTTGGTACTTCCTGGGGAGGAGAATACCCTGGGCAGAGTCATCAACTTGGGACACACGGCAGAGATCAAGGCAGAGTGAGTGTTTGTGTCACACGTAAAGCCAGGTTTCATTGTTGACGTAAACAGATGCAGGCAGCATTGTAGAACTGTCCTTGATGATATTCATTGAATATCATGCCTGATGTCAACATGGGCAGAGACGGTTGGTAGAGTTGGATCACATCCAACTTTGCTAACTGACTGTATAAACACGTAGGCCGGCATGACAAACATACAGTGTACGATGATATCTCTGTACCTTTTTATAGTAGCATATATTTGGCCCAATTCTCACTATGATGAAGGTATAACCCTAATGGTCAACAAAACTGACAACAAATCAATACATCGAATTGAAGTACCGGTTTATGAAAATTGTGAGAGTTTTGGACACCATTTTGTTTCAGGTTTTGTCAAACAATATCTCAAACCGTTTTTTGTTTGTTTGTTTGTTTGACTGTGTGCATCTTGACATCTTGCACACTGTCTGTGATCCGTACGACCCAATGGAAACTACAGTCATTTGCAAAAGTTTAGGACCATCCATATGAAATGCAGTAACCTAAAGAAAAACTAAACTTAAACTAATCCATCATGGCAACTTACATGTATGTTTATTTTCAATGTGAAACCTGAGTATCTTGGTTAAACAGCTATTTGACCACATTTCCATGATTTGAAAAATGTTATTAGTCCAATATTCAGTGTGCCCTCCCTTATTTCTGATTACATAGGTTGGTGTTTTTATCCATGCTGCCTTACAAACTACATGTATCATACAAGACCTGCCTTTGCAAAAATTTCATTCAAATGGGTATATAGCACTACACTGATGTTATGCACCACTGTAAAATCATGTTAAGTAATCATTCAATGAGACAATGTTATGCAGGCCCAGTGGCAGAAATACCAATCAAATTCCAGGTGGTCTTAAACTTTTCCAAATGACTGAAATAACAGTTTATATGGGTAAAACACATTTTACTTCTTTGATTAACTCTTGCTGTGGTTTGCCTTTCAAATTGCTTCCAAATCTGTTTTTCTGAGTAGGGGAAGGAAACCGGTGAAAGTAGCCCATCTTTAATACATGCGCTGTGCAGTGCATGTACATATGCACTGCGCAGCGCATGTATTGAAGATGTACATATACTAATACTCAACATAACATAGTCTCTCGTCTTCATAATCTGCCTATCTCCACCTGGCAATGGCAAATCCAGCATGGGAGTTCCGTTTTCTTTCCCCTTCTCCCCCAAGACACGTTGCAGATTTGTTTACTTTTTAAACTGAAAGCACAAACATTTTAGAAAAACAAAGCTGCCTCCCCCTCTTGAGGGGGTAATGAGGATTCCTTTAAGGATAAAAAAAATTTGGGCTGTTAAATTTTAGAAAAATATTCCACTGCCCACTGGTCGGTAAGTTCCCCAAGTACTTCTACCAACCAGACTATCAACCATTCAGTACTGCTGATCCCAAGTTAGTTGTGGTGCTATACTGAAGCTCAGTGACAGAGGAAGTACACTAATAAGATCTTAAGATAAAATTCAAAATTTTGTTAACTGTGTAAATCGCTTGGAGATATTACACAAAGACTTTTTGTATTGAGGGGATGAGCAGAGGTTGAGTGCTGTCTGATTGGCTTTTCATTTCTGTTTCTATGTGGGTTGTAACAGTGCTGTAGATGTATGTACATGCCAGTAAACTACAATTCTACATGGTTTGTTGGTCAGTGGTAGCAGAAAAAAACCAGCATCTCATCATGAGCTGTAGTATACAGCTGATAGCAATGGTACTCTGTTCTGTGTTCTCTCAGGCTATTGAGCAGCGTGAGTCCCACAGGGACCAAGCGGGCAGTCATCAGGGAGGTGAAAAACAAGAAAGGAGAGGAGAAGCAATATGCAGAGGTCAGTGGTTAGAGGATTGACCAATCATCAGCCAGCAGTGGCCAGTTTTGGCTTGACCCATTTTTAAAAGTGGTTTTATTCTAATCGGTATTCTTCACCCCAAAATTGTGATTATTGAAATCCATATGTCCATTATTTCTGAACTTCTGTGCACAATTTCTGTCAGTATTTGAAAGTAATGCTCTACAGTGTATCAGTTAACACTATTTTAGAACTTTAACCCTAACCCCCTAGGCTCCTGCACTAGAAAGCATACTGAACCCCACAAAATCCAACAGGTTCATGTACTTGTCTATGTACTTGTACATGCAGGTTAGTGTACCAAACCTGATAAACTCCAACAGAATGAGTCTGTTGGAGTTTGAGTGATATGGCATGGATGGGTCTATGCAGTATAGGATGACTTGCATTGAACAGTACCAAACCTGACAAAATCAAGCATAGTCCAACAATTGGTACAGCAAGCCAGACACTGCACACAGTGATATGTGTGTGTCCCAACTTACACAGAATCCAACACCATCCCCCTGGGCCTTTCATCCCAAGTCTCACAAAATTCAACAAGAAGTTCCTCAGGTACGGTACCAAACCTGCCAAAACCTCACAAAACCTGCTGTTGGAGCATGGCAGGTTTTGGGCAGTTAGGGTTAAACTTCCTTTTGGTGCCAAATCTCAAAATCTGCTACACTGTGGTGCAACTTGAAGGGGCAGCTTGTAGATTGCAAACTTGTGCAATACCTATGTATTGCAGCTGTAGATGTCAAACTTGCAACACAATTGCACATTTCGAGGCACAGAGGTACATAGGTAAATGTATGTACAGACAGGTCCCCTAAACTCTAAGGCACCTCTCTGAGTAAACTCTGATATCGCAGATGTTTTTGTTGAACAGGAGTTCCAAATTACATGTATGTTCAGGCAAATAGAATGCAAGGTTTGATGAAGGCATTGAAATAGGCCATGTGTGGTAGAATTGAATATTGCTCATTAGCATGTTCTTGAAATGTAGTTACAGAGGTTTAAACGCTTTTCATACGGGGGTACATGTATGTGTGTTTTTCTTCGGTCAGATATGGGATGCAAGCCATAAAATTCTCAACCTAGATCTGACAGCACAGGAGAAGCATGGAAAAGTGTATGAAGATGGTACGTGACTTGTTGGGTTGGTTGATTGATTGATTTGTTGGTCTTCATTTTATAGGAAGAAATGAGTGTTGATTTACACTGTATGCTGGAAAAGAGAATGTTTATGTTACATCTCTAATGTGTCAAAATATGACTTCAGGCTTGAGAGTATTTTGATGATTTTTGACCATAGCTGAGCCACAGCGGACTTGTCTTTATTACCTTACAGTCACTGACTATTGATTGCTGTTAGTAAGAACCTTACGAGTAATTCACTAAGTGTTAAAAAGCCAGATGCTGCTAGGTAACAGGTATGTAATGAATACTATAACTAAATAATGGATGACAATACTATCATCCTTGTCACTAATGAAGTGATTTTTGGTAACAAGTTCGTGCCAACCATGGTTGAACTTTCTGCAAGTTTGGCTGCCCATTCAAAGTGGTTGTCATTGTAAACCTAACGAAGGTCTGTAATTCTGTTCCTCTGTTTGGTGATTTCAGAAAGTTCAGGAACCTTCTCTTTGAACAGAACCATGTGGAAGGAATTTAACATGCTTACAATTGTCCGAGTCACCTAGGTGAGGTTTGTTTTGTTTCTTAAAGAGCTGTTCGGTAGCTTGGCCTGGTCATCATCAGAGACACATCTGGTGTACATTGCAGAGAAGAAAAAACCAAAGGCCATTTCATACTTTGAACCAAAATCCCAGAAAACTAAAAATGGAGAGACTGAAGACAGCGCTTCTGGAAAAGATGAGCCAGTCAAGGTAAAGATATTTTCGCATGTAAAGCACTGACTTTATTTTGACACCTGATAAAGCCATTATTTCAAAGAGGCGTACGAATGAATTAAGGTGCTCTGAGCTTAAACAGAGGAGAAGTGGTCTCATGGGAGCTTGTGTTTGGGATGTTATTATATGCGAAGTGGCTTGTGTGGGTATGGCAAGGAATATGACTTCCCAATTTTCATCTGGATGGGTACAAAACTTTTCATCACCGAGGTAATTTTTGTGTCTAGAGTCTGTATCAGTACAGGAAACGGTATCACTGGATGAGGCGTACTCTTGACTTCTTATCCTTACTCCAAATTTGTTTCATCTTGGATTCCTCTCTGATAGGCATGCAGTCATGTGGGTGTAGTGCCTGTCTACCAAATTTAAAACTGAAAAGTTCTGGCGAGGGGTTACAGGGGTTACAGTGCCCCATTGCCCACTCCCTTGAGCAAGATACTTTATTGTAACAATTGTTTTTTTTTGTCCTCTCATGCGTTACTGATAACCTTGCAAGCAGAATGTACCACTTCTGTTTTAATACTCTTAATCAGTAGACTGCATCCAGAGCAATATATTGACCAAACTGTAAGTGTAGTAAGTGGCAAAGCCATCCTGTCTAGGGAGCTCTGTGCTAGTCATCAAGACAACTTCTTTCTCTTAGAACAGAGGGCTAATTGCATTGTTTCAATGAAACCTTGTTCATTAATTTGGGTTTTGCATTGTAGGGAGATCAGAACGTAATGTATGAGGAATGGGGTGAAACACTCACATCCAAACATCATCCTGTAGTCTGTGTCCTAGACCTTGAGAGCCAGACTATCAGCGTACTCGATTCTGTGCCTAATGAAGTCTCGGCTGGACATGTAAGCATGTGTGGCTATTCCTTTTTGGAAAATGGGTTTCATTCCTGTCATTAAAATCACATCGAGAAGTCTGACTTTAAGGTAAAGTGGATCATTTTTCATTTATGCATTTTTGTCAATGGAAGCAACAAATTTGCTCAAAATCTTAAGAAAGGTACTGAACTACCGATCTCCTCCTTTTGAGTCTGGCATATTGCTTAAAACTTTATGTCATGTTTTGAAGTGACTGAATCCCCGGGGGTAGTATTCTCAGTGATATCAAAAACACTTCTCAGCATGAGAGAAGGAACACAGGTAACTTCACTGGTAGTTCAGTGTCATCACTATCTCTAGCCCAAGAATGCTATTTAACAATCCTTCTGATGGTTGATCTACAAATGGCCCTCTCTCACCATGGTTGGTATCTGTTTTTGTCATTTTGTTGGTTATAGTATTTTAATTCTGCGTTGCCTGTTTTGAAATGTGTGTTATCTGTTTGCCTGACCACCTAAAAATTTTTCTGCATCACCACTTTTTCATAACCAGGCGGTATGGGCTCCAGATGACTTGGGCATCGTGTTCGTTGGTTGGTTTCACGAGCCGTACAGACTTGGCGTACGATACTGCTACAATAGGAGGTAAGAATGACTCTTGGTCTAGCTGCAGTCATCAGTTATGACCCAGCATACGTGTGGTGACCAGACTTAGGACCACCGAGGTAAGTTTTGTCCTGTGACTATGGTTTAGCCCCCTACCATTCCTACAAAGCTCTAATGATGTGAAGTGAAGTTTGTAAATATTTTGGGGAAAAAATAGTTGTAATCTTCCGCTGCGGTATTTGAAAATAGACCCCATAAAACTAGGAAGTGTCAAATAAAACTTGGATTTTGTGGGTTAAACTAATCCACAATTGACTCTGAATGTATGGGCTGGAATAGCTTCAACACACAGAGTTTCAGCTTCCTGCTTTCATTAGATTAAGTAAACAATAACCCCTTGAAGTACCCTTTCTCTGCTGGGTGGGGCATAGGTACTCAACCTGCAAGATTCCATCAGTCCACTTATTGTATTGGTACTCAGCCCAACAAACACAAACAGGCTGTAAACTGGTGGGTTTTGGCTGAGTGGGGATACTTGGTCATATACTGTGTAAAAGGAATAGGGACACAGTGTACCCATCCATTCAAGATCCAATAACTGCAGGGCTATTCAAAATTGTATTTGTTTTTTGGAGGGGGGCTCAGATTTCTTTGTTTTATCTTTCGCTACTCTTAAAAAAGCAAGGTCACCAAACACTCTAAGTAGAGTAAGTTATTCCACTCCTTAAGTACAGGTACATGACCAAATGACCCCATTGTTTACAGGCACACACATACCAGCAGCACCATTTATCAAACACCCAGCAGGTACTGGGCAATACCAACCATACCCACTCAGTCCAAACCCAACACTGTTACTGCATCTGTACAGTACTCCTCCCGTCATAACCCAACACTTTATGTAGTAAGTTTCATATGTACAGAGAGTGGAACCCACCAAATTTCATCAAACTCTGATGTTGTAAATTGATGGGATGGGGAACATTAGGGTTAAAAAGTACATTCAGAACAAGCAGTTAAGTTGCAGTCAGGCACGACACCTTAAATTTGAGAGTCCACAACAGAAACACCAATGACAGACCTACCAACTTTGCCATACTCCTTCCTGAGGTCAGGCATTACCACACAATAGATAAAAAGGTATTCAAATGAGCCTCCAGTTCATTTGAATTTTTAATTTAACCCTAACACTCCTCAATCCTTCATCTGTTGGAGGACAGAGGAGTGTTAGGGTTAATGTTTGGTAATGCCTGACCTCAGGAAGGAATACGGCATTGAAGATTTATGCATTATGCTGACATTTGGTGTGAAAAGTTATTATTGGACACTTTTTCAGACAAATTTGAGTTGGGTTGCATGGGAGGTATGTGAAGTGACATTGGATGAACCTTCTGTAAATGTCAACAGTCATAATTAGTGGTCCAACCTTACACATAAGCATTTCAAATGTTCTGTTGTTACATTATTCCAGGAGTGCCTTGTACTACGTCCAGCTTGAAGGTGATAGATGCGGTGAGTTCATCATTCTTCTAAAGAGTTAAAGAGATTGTGCACATAATTCTTTTATTATTGCCTGATTATGGGCTATTTTCGTACTTGTCTCGTTCATTAATTTGAACCAAAACCAGATGGAGTATATCTTCATCCCTAATGATCATGTGTTAGCTTGACAAAGTCAGTACAAAACTTAGGAAATATAAAATGCTGCCCTGAACCAATGAGCATGTCCCAGTTGGATTGATGTTGAATGTTCCACCTTCCCCCAGTGACAATCTGTGACCTCCGGGGTGGCTCCCCTCTCCATTTGAAATGTACACGTTCCCCTCCCCACTGCCCCTTTAGACATTTTTGCCTAGTTACACTAGTACCACATCAAGTTTTTTGCTCTCAGTTTGCCTTCTTTAAATTGGCATTTTGTAAACAGAAGTCCTGAGTGGGACAGACTTGTCATTGTGGTGCCCACGTTTTAGTCCAGATCAAACCAAGTTGGTGTACCTGTGCAATGAAGTCGGGGGACCACACAGGCATTGCGGCCAAATTGCTGTGGTAAGGTTTCATTGACAGACATCTTGGAATCATACTAAGCTGCCTTCTTTTTGTGTGTTGTGCATGTTTGCATTTTGTTGTCACTAGAGGTACTGAGCAAGACAGACAAGAGTATATGGTGCCCTCGATTTAGCCAGGATAAAAGCAAGTTAGTGTACCTGTGCAATGAGGCAGGGGGCCCACACCATCACTGTAGTCAAATTGTCATGGTAAGGCCCTATGGCAGACCTAGGAACAAAGGTTACAAGATCAACCGGGGACACTCTTTCTTCTGATGATGCACAGTTTCTTCACGCTTCTCTCTGTCTTCAACTCATTTAAAGAATGTTTGTGAATCAGGCATTTTGTATAGAGATTACTGATTTGTTTCATTGCAATTTAAATTTGCATAATGTCCAGTATCCTGACTTCTAATATGTTTTTGTTTTCACATTTGAATTCCCCAGACTATGCTTTAATGTATGATTTGAGGCAAGCTTTTTGAACTTAACCTGCACTTCTGCAATAGTCTGATGACTCTCTATCATTCCTGTCTACAATGCAAAGTGTGTTGTTGCAAAGGGCCTTTGACATAACTGCTCAATTCATTTGCTCTGGCAACATTGTCTATAATTTGTAGAGACCAAAAGTGGAAATGTATCAAACATTTAATGAAATCCATCTTCTGAATATTTATTTGTTCTCATCATGTAACTTCTAGAAGACTCAACTTGTTTAGCAGTACTGAGTTAAATACTTTTCCTACATAACCTTTGTTTTCCTAACAGTACGATTGGGTATCTAAGAAGACTACAGTGGTTGTAGACACCGTGCAAAAGCCTACAGGTACAATTCTTGGTAGATCCTCCAAAAGCCACTGAGGCAGTGAAACATATGCATGTTAACATGGTTGGATATATTCACATATAATTATTGCAATGTTGAAAGGGTGTTGCTTCAGAGCATGGACACAAAAAAGCATAGGATTCAAATTGTTAGAATCGTCGTTTAATTCCATCTTTTGTTTCTGAAAAATGTAATCAATGAAATCTGACACTCAAACCGTGCTGTTCATTTGTGTAGATGTACATATGTCATTGCAAAGGGTCTTTTCTCGGATGTTGTTTTCATAAGAATAACCAGTCGTTGTTAAGGATATTTACCGACTCTGGCTCTCTGGAATCCGTGCTGCACTCTGATTATTGCAGCTTTGTAAGAAAGACAGTTTTAAAAGTTGTTTTCATAATATTCAGAAAAATGTCCAGTGTAATTATTTAGTTGAAATATGTTTGAATTACTGCTAATGAGTTCATCTTCATTTTGTGTTTAGCTGGCTCCCCATTCCCTGGTGTCTACGTCTTTGGTGATAACCCAGTTGATAAGTGCTGGATGAGTGACAATAAACGTCTTGTGTTGGCCTCATTTTGGGGAAGTAAAAAGGTAACAATATTTATTGGTATTGTCCCTTGACCTTTGCCCTTTGTTATGATACTATGTTGATCTGGTCATCAACATTGTGTTCCAGTTACCCTGCTGAACAAAAATGATTGCCTCATTTGTACCAAATCTTACATGATGAACCTATTTTCTTATGTTTGGATGCACTTCTGCCATTCCTGAATAATGCACTTGTTTCTTTTTTTGAACAGGAAATTCTTGTAATAAACACAGACAAGTGTTCGGTGACCAGGTTGACCTCTGATCCCAAGTTTGGGGCATGGACAATTCTCGATATTGTAGGTGATGTCATACTAGCCGCACGCTCTGCTCCTAATAGAAGACCTGAACTGGTAGGTGAACAAACTTTCTATGCGGATAGCCTACCAAAAGATATGTTTTGGAGCTCAAAAAATTATTCTTGACTTTGACTTTATTTAAGTTGTCATTAGGCAATGGCATCTGGCAAATGGTATTATATAATGCCTTATTCGTAGAATTTGTTTAATCACTATTTCCACCGTGGACCATTAGAAATGGTGTGGATGCGAAATACATAAATGGCTCGGAAAAAGTAGTTGGTTATATCACCGATTGGTACAGTTATTTCACAAACCTTTGTATGTACACGCATATTGATGTGAAGTGCACATTGCTTATGGTGTGTGGCATAAAATAACCACATCAAGCTGTGATGTAACCACCCAATTGTCCAAGCTGTACACACATCCTCTATGTGTACCATTTCTGATAGTTCTTATTGTTTCATTTCCTCTGCTCAAACCATACCACAGCCAAGAATTTCTACTACAACACCCTTGGCACCCAAAGTATATCCACTGTACCCATAATAACTAAAGCACATTGCAATCACATTACTATAGACATACATGTATTAACAAAAATATTGTGCAGATGGCAACCAAGTATTGTATCCATAGCAACCAGTTCACTATATCAATACGAATTACGTCCTTAGCAATCACAGTGTTACTTCCCTGGAACTAAAGGCCATGTCGGTACATGTGCTCAGGCATTTGTGCATTTTCATACTTATGAGCACAGTTTTAGTCCTTAAATGGTTATCTATAGATTATCATGTAGAGTTCATTGTTGCAAACCTTTTGCTAAAATACAAGTGGAACTTCAGTCATCACATTCAAATTCAATCACAAGGAAAAATGTGGTGTGGGGAATTCATTGACAGGCCCCTGTGGTACCAGTCTAGTCTGTAAGTTTTGATCTGCAAGTCGTCGTGTATGTCCCTCCATCATGTCATGCATGTTACACAAGTTGATTTTTGTGTGAAGGTGATAGGTGAGCTACCATCTGAGGGGCAGGAGCTTAGCATGGCCTGGATCTTATTGGATGCTAGTATGGCCTACGTTGAGAACTTGTCCTGGGAAATTCTGCAACTCAAGGCAAAGACAGACACAGAGTCTGCTCATGGTGAGTCAGACAGTGATTTGAATTTATAGCATTGATTTCGAAGTGAATTAAAGGTGACTGAGTTTTTTTGAATGACGGGAAAACATTTTTTATGGTGTCAAGCATGCCCCTTGAGTGCTGAGATTTATACCTCAAATCTATTGTGTAAGTTTGTTGATGTCACAATGATATTTTCTGAATGGATGCCCAGTGAACAGGCAACTGTGTATACGTCTGAGTAACCTAACAAAATTTACATCTATGATGCAAAGCCAAATTAATATCATTGTTTATTTCTGCTCTATTATGATGGATTGTGCAGGTGTTATTGACTATGAGGCTATTCTTCTAACGCCAGGCCAGACATCCAATGGTAACCTGCCACCGCTTATTGTTCTGCCGCATGGTAAGTCAATATCTTGGACATTGTGTACACGGTCAAAATTGATCCCAGTTTCCATTACCAACAAGGTTGGTGAACCCAGCTGTGACCATTGTAAAATGAATGGCTGTGAAATTTAGATTTCTTGAAAACACCCATGGCACTATGGTTGGCAAACTGAAGAAACCCAGTGAGAATTTATGTGAGGCATTCCCGGTTTTAGAGGTGGGGGAAACACCAGTATTGTAGTTGAGTCACCAACGTTGAGTCTGAGTCCCAAGTTACAAGCCTTGAGACTGGGTTCTGAGTCACAAGCCTCAAGTTGAGTCCAATTCATGAAAAATGTGACTCCAGTCTGACTTGAATCTGAGTCCTGGACTTGAGTCCTGCTACACTGGGAACCCCATAGAAATACTTTGGGGAAACCAATGTAACCAGTTAGGGAATCTAAACCCAGTTCTTTTGTTGATCTTACTGGGATTTAAAAATGCTGAGGTGAAAGGTGAGGAAGGAATTGGTGCGCTAATTATACTACTCCACCCTTTCACAATCTTGGGGATGTGGGGTGTCGAATACATGGAAGACGATATTTACATGAGTTCTGATATGAAGTGGGATTTATATTTTTGTATGGAATGCATAGATAAATATAAGTCTCTGATGTTGTGTCTCTTTTAGGTGGTCCACACAGCGTAATAGTAGCTGAGTATCTGCTGTCAATGGTGGCATTTTGCAAGTTGGGATTCGCGGTGCTCTTGGGTAATCAAGAAATCTACACATAAAGAAATCTTTGGATGATATACTTTGCGCAGAATATCCCAAGTTAGAGCAAGCTAGGGGAGTGAAACATCTTCTGAAATCAACCTGGATGAAGACATTATCAATGTTGTTATCAAAATTCATAGGCATGTTTTAAGAAAGAACATTTGGGAAAAATTGGGATGCAATTAATAATTTTTCTGAAGTTAATCACAAGAAGAGAATTGTGATGAAGCAATGTCTTTGTTACTCTGAGTAGCTTGTGGCTCATTTTGATACATGATGATTTGTCATTGATTCGTGATTGTGACGTCGTTGTGATCAAATGATGACTTGCAACACATTGATTACAACTGGACAAGTTTCTGTCTTCTGCTTGCCTTTTTGTAGTCAATTTCCGAGGCTCTTTAGGCTTTGGTCAAGCCAGCATCTTATCACTACCAGGCAATGTGGGTCGACAGGATGTGGATGATGTGCAGGTAACACATTTCAGTTATCGTGATCAGTGGCACACATGGTCTTTGCTGCAAAGATCAATAAGGTTTTTTTCACAGACACTGACCTTTATTTTGCTTTTAGTAGTTTAAAAGTGCCTCTCAAGCCTTGTCATTAGAAATGCACCTATCAGACAGCATTCATGCAGCTCTTAATGACAATTTACATGAAGTTAAAATACTTCCTTAGTTCATACCAATTTCCCAGGTAATAATATTGTTTTGAAATGATTTTGTGCATATGCCCATATGTGTAATGTAAAATATAAATATTTTATCCAAATGTTATAAAACATTTTTGGCTGTATTGAAGAGGTGTTGCTGTGAGAGAAATGAGTTATACTTTTTCCAGTGAAGAAAATCTTTGTCGATTTGTGCATTAATTCTATATGTTGAGTAATTATCAAGCAATTGTGAAAGAAATACGAAAAATTTCAGAAAATTCATCAAGAATAGCAACATGATGTAGAGTACTCAAATCAGTAATTATGACACATTTGGAATGAACCAAAATTTTAATGTTGACACCACCGTCATTGTGAGGAAGCTTTCTGATTTGTAACTCCCATGATACTTTGCATTTCCCAGCATGCTGTGCTGACAGTGTTGGATTCTGGGAAGGCTGATCGGGATAGGGTCGTCTTGTCCGGGGGTTCACACGGAGGTTTCCTAGTCACACATCTCATCGGTCAGTTTCCGGTAGGTGTGTTTTCTTCATACCATCAAGGAATATAGCTTTGAGAAAATGATCATATCGTCGGTGACACATAGGATAGTTTTGGTGCACCACAAAGTGACGTACAGTCCTTAGACTTTGTACACACAATATGTCAGTTCGTGGTGCGGCAACTATCCATGATTTGCACTTCATGGTGAAACCGACAATATAACCCTGAAATGCCTTCTGTTGATTTCAAGATATTTTATGTAAACCTTTACGGAGTACCTGTTATCTGAAAAAAAAGAAAGAAAACGATTGGTTCCCTGTACATTATTTAAAGCAAATCTTCTTAAATAATTGTTCCCCTTTCCATACTTGTAATTACATTCACTCTAACAGCATCTTGTTGGCAAGACGATTGTTTTCTTATTTTAAAGAGAACCCCTTGTTTATATTTTCAGGACTTCTACAAGGCTTGTGTGACAAGGAACCCAGTTGTAAACATTGCATGTGAGTTCCCCTAAATTCATTGCTTCAGATAACTTGCTTGGATTTTGCTGAGAAAGAGATTTATAGTTTTTCTGTACTAATTTTGGGATTTTTAATTTTGTTTTCCTACAGCTATGCTTGGAAGCACTGACATTCCTGATTGGTAAGTCCAAAATTAGGATTTTTGTATTAAAAGGCCTTTGATAAATGTTCTTTAAATATAGTAATAATAACATTTTTGTCATGGTTACTGTTTATTGATAAATATGAACATAACATGTATGAGGTAGGGATTGAATATTTCAAAGAAAATGTCTTTCACAGAAAACTGGATTGACAGTGCACCAATAAATTGACAGATTTGAATTGACCTCTATTGTCTGTAAGCCATGCTTTATTTATGAATATGCTTTCCTATGGTGCTCATGGGTACCACTGCTACAGGGAAGTGCACATCTAAACAATGTGTGACATCATTAATACTTTCCAGGAATCACTGTGAGGCTGGTATTGGGCCCTTTGAGTTTGACAAATTGCCATCTCCGGAGATGTACAGTGCCATGCTGAGTAAATCTCCCATCATTCATGCCCACAAGGTACAGCAAGTAGCATTTTGAATTTTGTTTGTGTGTAGTTTGGTATGTGTCCGTGAGCAAGATAATGTCCCATTTATACTGCTTCTCCTTGCCAAGTTTTAAACGGGTAAAGAGACTACCAGTATGCATTGCTGGTATCTCAGAGGCCTTTTTTTGTTAGTTTAATTTAGTTACAAAGAATACACAACAGATTTACTCCAGCCTGCCCAGTGATACAAAACTATTGTCCTCCGAGGATGCATAACCTCTGAGATAGACGAGTCAGTGACAATAATAACTGTCCCTGCTAGCCACTGACAGAATATGACGTTGGCTTAATTATGTAACAAAATGGCTGAAGTCTGTCAGTTTGTTCAGAACAAAATCAGCTTTTGACCAGTCTTGAGCAATATAAATTATATGTCGTGTTGGTGTGGGACCTTTTTTTTGCCAAGTCCAAAACAAGCTGCACTAGGTAATTGCAAGTGTTTAACAGCTCTGCTGAATTGGCTTGTCAGTAGATTTTTGAACACTCCCAGTGAAATTAATTTTCACATTACCCTACATACTTTTCCACCGTTGATAGGTTTCTGGTTACTACTATGGGTAAGAATACAACTCTAGACACGGGCATCTCAAGAAAGGGGTATGGCTCTTTTAAGGGGACAAAGCAGCCATCAGTAACAGCTGACAAGTCTGATAGATCCAACAGTAGATAGGAGTTATTTCCTAGCATTTCATACCAGCGAGTTTATCCCCTTTTCTTTTTCTTTTTTCCTTAATTATTTTTTTTCTTTGAAGAAGAAAGCTCCTTGCCATTCATGACCCTAGATGAGAGTACAAAACCTGAAGCTGAAATCCAAACTGTGAAGCCACCATGTGGGAAAATTTGCCTGGCATTTTAGTACTAATAAGGCCATTTGCTGCATCTACTTCATTCCTTGTATACAGAAGCAGAGATTTGTTTTCTTATCACTTTGGTCCACAAATCCCTTTACAAATTCCTCAAAGAAGATAGATATGCTACAGTTAATGCTCATAATTTTGGATTTCCCTTGCCTCAGGTAACCACCCCGACCTTAGTCATGATAGGTGCTGTGGATTTGCGGGTACCTCCCAAACAAGGACAGGAATTCTACAGGGCTCTCAAGGCGCGTGGAACCAAGACAAAGTAAGTATGCATTATCGCATGGGAGAGGCTTGGACCCAGACTGCTCAGAGTGAAAAATATAAAAACAAAAACCTTACTTTGTAAAGTAAAAGTAACGGTAACACACGTATATGAGAAATGGCTGCAGTGACTTAATTGCTTTCATAGGTGTGCAAGTCATTTCTAATCTCGGCCCGAATAGGATCTGATCAAATGACATTTAAGTACCATGTAATTACATGGTTTTCCCGAGATTAGCCACCAATGCAGTAAGCAAGCATTTGGTCAGCTGCTATAGATTGTAATGTGAAACAGAGAGGCTTAGATTCACATAGAATAACCATAAATTCTTCATCAAATGGCAAAGTGGTCACTACATATGCCATGTACATTTTTAGTTGTTATTGAACCAATCCAGCAGCGAGGGCTGGCTCCATGTTTTGTCTCATATTTTGGGGCATTTATTAGGGCTTTGTCTGTTCATCTACTCCATAAACAATGTGCGTGGTGCCATGATTTGCTTAGATAGATATGGAATTAACGAGTGGTTAAATCAAGAAGTTTAGGTCACTGAATATTAAATAGCTTCTACTGTTGGGATTTAGGGAACATTGGTAGATGTACTGGGTGAGGTGTTTCATGCTCTTCATTTTCCCCCCTTTATTTCAGAATGCTTGTGTATGGTGAAAACTGCCATGGTCTGGCCAAAGTTGATGCTGAGGCTGATTGCTTCATGAATATGTACAAGTGGTTCAGCTCATTCCTTTAAAGATGTGAACCACCTTTGTGTGAACAGCATTAAAGGCGTCCATGTTTGGACCGATCATTTGGTTTTGTTACTTTACAGTGAAGCTGGTTACATTAACCCCTTCACGCCGGGAGACGGTAAGAGCCGCCATAAAAATTGAGATCCTCAGCCCGCTTTTCAGCTATTATTCTAGGCCCACGCTCGAGCGAACACGGTGAAAGAAGGCAGACCCTGGCTCTTGTATATATGGTGTTGGACTTTGTGTGTAGCCCAGAAATGAAAAGACCGAATTTGCATCATAATCACCATTTTCACAATAGTCCCCACTTTGAAAAGAGGCAACGGGAATGTGTGAGTGTGAGTAGAGCCGCATGCCAACGAACAATGAGCCTTTTCACTGTGTAAACCAAAGCATGCAGAGCACGCAGGGCCACAAACTGAGAACTTGCAGTTTGGCAGGTGGCCTTCGTGGCCAAGAGAGGCTGGAATTCTTGGAGTCGGCATTCGGAAAAAAATTCCCGTCGTCAAGGGTTAAAGCATGGAGCACTATAACATGAGACTACACGCAAAATGGTAAAACTATGCAAAAATGGGTTCATGTTGGAACTGTGTTAGCCGCGATATTAGATAAATAAGTGTGTAATCCCAAAACACTGTGCCTACATTTTGTTTTGTATTCACTCAAGGCCACATTTGAGGGAGGGCAGCAGATTCACTCAGTGAAACAATGAAAATAGAAGTCCTTGCTTTTCTCTGTTTGTTGTAATTTTATTTTCTATTTGTCCCAGACAGATGAACAGTTTCGGTTTGCTTGCTGTTTCCTGTCCAGTAAATAGTTCAAAAACTGTTACATGCACGCACCTTTTTAGCACTGATACACTGTTGCCCTTTTGGGGAATATCCTTTCAATCCTGCCTTCAATGAAGGCAGTATCTCTGATTAATATACACAAGCCAATATTGTTTGATACCATACAATGTATTCTCCCTGTGCAAAAATATAAATAAACGGTAAGACTGCATTAAAATATTCTTTTTTACAATGCTATGTTCAATCCACAGTGACTCATGTGTTGTACAGATATATATTTTTCAGGATAGACTATTAAAGACCATGTAAAAGACAACTTGGGTTGTAAAGGGAGGCATACTCTAGTTCAAACAAATTTCAGTTGGTGGATGATTTCAATTTTTTACAATTCAGTTAGGTCACATTTTGGGTAAAAGGTGATTTTAAACACTGTTTAAATGCAATTGAGAAGCAGACAGCCTTGAAAACAGGACTTTACTCTAAGTAAATACATGTAATTGTAATTAGTGCAGTTGAAACTGCGGTTACTTTTTAATTCAAATGATCTGTTTTTGATAAACCAAACCATTCTGCCTGAAATCCCGTTGGCCGTTATATTGGAACGTACAAAGTCCTTCCATTGAGCATAGACTTAGTGTAACTTAGAAAAGCTTGGTATTTTTCTTCCTCTTTTAGGTTATAATTTAGACTATCCCTCCCAAATCTGTTCTCATAGATGCAGTGCAGGCTTTCCCATCATAACATAAGGTGTCAATTTGTCCTGGTGCTGTGGTACAGAGAATAAAAGCTAAATACAATAAACTGCGAAATAAAAAGCCCACTTTTGAAGTTTGGCAGATCACCAAGGTTCCAAGCACAATGCCTCAACTGTTCATTATTTACCTTATAGTGTTATATTAATGGGCCCCATAACCTTCTTCAAGAACAGCCCGTGTAATGGGACTCCAACGTATTTGAGGGGAATACATGTAGGAGCTGTAAAGAGAGTCTCCTTTCTAGTATGGAAAAGAGAAATTGGTATCACTGGTGGCATTAGTTCAGAAATGGTTTACTTTACCATATGTACATACGCAGTTTTCTGTTAACTGGGTGCTAGTCTGGAAAGTTAAAACAATGCCTCTTCAACAACTTAGGAATGAAACCTGGCTCAGAACTAAATTAAAAAAAAAAATTGCCTGTTCTCATAAGTATGTTATTTAAAACGTAAAATATGGATGAAATTTAAAGCTGCAC